ACATCATGCATCGGCCGGGGCGGGGCATCAGAGGCCTGTGCGCCGGGAGTCTGGATATAGAGCTCGTCCTCGCCCTCGCCACCAACCACCTGCCATTCGCGCTTGCTCTGAGGTGCTGGGGGTCCAGGCGAACCGGCCACGAAGGTGAAATTCACGAAGTTCACGTCCCGGCCGGAGTCTGATTTGCGTTGGGCTGCCGGCTGGTGTGGCGGGTCCCTTCCAGACAAAACGTTGGGACAGCACGTGTCGCCTCTCCAGTGCCCAGTCTTTCCACAGCTCGCACAGGTAGAGGAGCGCTTCTTGTCAGCAAGGGACCGCGAAAGGGAGGAAGTCGATGAAGAACCGGGCTTGCTCCATCCACGTGCCTTCCGCTGGGCTGCTTGCTTTCCTTTCGCCTTCCAGCCGGCCGCAAAAGCCTCCAACGCCGTCTCGCCATCCACGGTGCCCTCCTGGGAGGCGGCCTCATCGTCAAAGGGGTGGCCCTCCTCCTCGTAGTCAAGCTCTTCCTCGGGCACCTCCGTGTCCGGGTCGGGCTCAGCAAGCTCACCCTCGATGACCATCTTGTCCAGGTCCTCTTCCTCCTCTATATCCTCCAGCTCGGCCCCCGCCACATGCACGGGGTTCCTCTTGCGAAAGCCAAAGCCACGGGAAGTAGTAGAGCTCGACCGCTTGGTAGGGGAAGAGGAGGTCGAGGACGGTGCCGTGGATCGTGCCGAGGGGGTCGTCGAGCGCGAACTCGGAAGCGACGATGGCACTCGCCGCTCATCCTCATGCACGGTGGCACACCTGTATCGAAGAGCGGCCTCGATCTGCACCGGGTCATAGCCACCAGCACTGTAGTAAACATCCAAGCGCTCGCGGCGGCCCAAGGAGGCCCGGTTCAGTAACCTTTGGCCCCAAGCCTTGGCACTCATCACCGTCTCGGGGTCCACCCTGACATATTGGGCCTTCAGCCGCTTCATCCCGGCCACATAGCTAGCTATCGACTGGCCTGGCAGGCGGCGATAGCTTTGCAACTCACGTTCCGCACGCTCGAACTGCTCGCAGGAGGTCTCGTCATAGCTCTCGTCCAGCAGCTTCCACAGCACAACATCTCCCCCTGGACAGGTATATTCTGATAACGCCAGCTGGTCGAGCACATCTCTGGCATCCCCCTTGGTCGAAAGATAGACCAGCAT